TGAGGAGTGTGGAGAATAAATTTGAATAAAAAAAAGATGAAATCCACAAGCATCATCCTTTGAATCAAAAGTGAAGGAGAGAAATCCAAAGGAGACTTATATTTATCATTTCTAAAGAAGGCCAGAAATATTTTATTCATTTAAAAAATTTTATGACTTTCATTTTGAAATAATTTCAAACATACAAAAAGTTATAAAGTTGGTACAAAAAAATTTCCCATATACTGTTCACCCAGATTCTCTAAGATCTTATAAGTACTCATAAGTACAAATATCAAAATGAGGAAATTAGTATTGTTTCAAAAATATTATCTATTTGGTAGATCTTAATCAATTTTTTACAGTTGTTATTTAGTGCAGTATATAATCAAAGATCACACCTTCCATTCACTTGTCATTGCATTCAGTTCCCATGTCTTCTTGGTTTATTTAATATGAAAAGCTTCTTAGTCTTTCTTTGTCTTTCATGATCTTCACATTTGAGTACTGGCCAGTTATTTTGTAGAAACTGCTTTAATTGAGGATTGTCTGATATTTTCCCATGGTTAAAATCAAAATTATGCATTTTTAGCAAGAATACCACAGATGTGGTATAATGTCTTTCTTAGTGCATTATATCAGGAGCCACATGATATAGATTTGACCCACCTTGTGATGTTGCCTTTGATCATCTGATTAAGGGTGTTGTCTGCCAGATTTTTCCACTTTTGTAAAGTTACTATTTTTCCCTTTGGGAAGACATCTTTGAGACTATGTAAATATCCTGTTCCTCATCATTATTCTTGAATAATGTCAGTATTCATTAATGATGTTTGCCTGAAATAGTTATTACTGTAGTGTTTGCAAAATGGCAGTTTTCTTTTTCCATCATATTTTCTACATTTATTATTTAGGATTTTACTGTAAGAAAGAGCTTTCTTTTTTCCTCATTTATTTATTTATTTGATTATTCATTTATATCTCTAGGGACTCATGGATTTTAATTTTATTCCAGCAGTTATAATACATTACTATCTTCGTTTATTTTCTTGCTCATGTTGTCCAAAATTTGGTCATTGGGAGACCTTTCATGTTGGTTCCTGTATCTTTTTGACAGGTCTCCATCATTTCTTGAGAACTTCTTTATTATCTAAGACTACAAAACTCTCTAAGTTTATATTGTGCTTTCCTTGCTCCAGCCCAGATATTTGTTGAGGGTGATATTTAAAAAGGAACATCTGAGCACCAATGTGCTCATTAGGACTCATTAGGGACATCATTGCTTTTAGGCCCTTTCATTGGAGAAAGCGAGGAAATACATGTATGCATATCAATTTCCATATCTATATCTATATATTTATATACATAATGATATATATACACGTGTACATATAGATACATATATAGGTATTAGAAGCTATGAGTTCCTACTGGTACCTCTAATTCCAATCCAACACCACAGAACTCCTTCCTTTTGTTAGCTTACCATACTGGGGGTCTCCCTTGTGCCTGCATAATTTGGTGGATTTAGGCAGAGATGGGGCACATTCTTTCTGTGAATTCTTTGCTTCTGGAAATTCCACCTTAATTTTCAGCTGCTCTGGTGACCTCAGGATCTGTGCTCTGAAACCGCAAGCCTGTTAGGCTTCTGCTTTCTGCCACACAAGATATGCATTTTGGAGAATGCTCTAGTTGAAAAAATAGCAAACTCACAGACTTTTCTCTGTGTAGCTCTATCTGTCAAGGTTAGAGTCCTTTTTTTTTTTTTTTTGGCCAAGTCACTGGGGTCTCCCCTGAACATTCCAAATTGAGCTGTCACCCAGGAATCTGGGCAGAGTTTATACTTAGAATTTGGTTCTCACTCCTTCTGTGGTTCTCTCGCTGCCAAGATTCCCCCATTTAAATTTCCACCTGCTCTTTAGCACTAAACTCCTATCTCTGGCACCATAAGCTGATGGAGCTGCAATTTCCACTCCATTCCTCAGCCACAGGCTTGGGGTTTGGGAGTGGTGTCAGAACAGAAAGCTGCAAATTCATAATTTATTACCCCTTCTAGTTCCAGGTTGTTTTTTGAGAAGAAACTTTCTTCCAGTGCTTTTAATAGTTATGTTTTTATTTTATCCAGATTTTATAATACTTATCTAAGAACAGGTTTTTGTGACCACTTCACTCCTTCACATTACTGGAGGTAGTTCTCTCAGTGTATTTTAATTTGCATTTCTGTAATTATGAGTGAGGGTAAATATCTTTTCATACAGAAGGACTATTTTGCATCTTTTGTGTATGTGTGAATTGTCTGCTGATGACATTTTTCCACTTTTATATTTAGGATTTTAGTCCAATATTTAAGAATTATGTATTAGGGATATTAGCCCTTTATCTGTGATATATGTTGCAAATATTTTCTCCTGGTTTGTCAGTTGTCTTCTGCTTTGTTTATGGTGATTTTTGCCTTGCAATGGTTTTTGTTTTTTTTTTTTTTGTGAGGAAGATCAGCCCTGTGCTAACATCTGCCAATCCTCCTCTTTTTTCGCTGAGGAAGACTGGCCCTGGGCTAACATCCGTGCCCATCTTCCTCCACTTTATATGGGACGCCGCGGCAGCATGGCTTGCCAAGCGGTGCGTTGGTGCGCGCCCGGGATCCGAACCGGCAAACCCCAGGCTGCCGCAGCGAACGCATTCGCTTAACTGCTTGCGCCACCGGGCCGGCCCTGCCTTGCAGTGTTTTTTAAATTTTTAGGTGGTCAAATTCATCAGTATTTTTAAAATTTCCTCTTGATTTTGAGCATAGTTTAAAAGGCTTTCCCTAAACCAAGGTTAAAGAGAATTTCACCCATGTTTTCCAGTAGTTTTTGAATGCTTTTCTTTTGTATATTTAGATCCCTGATCTATTTGTAGGTTATTCTTGTTTATGGTGTAAGGTATGAATCTCATTTTGTCTTTTCCCAAATGGCTAGCCAGCTCTCCCAAAACCTTTTACTTAAAAATCCATCTTTTGCCCCAGCAATTTGAAATACCAACTTTATCTTATACCAAATTTCTGTATGTATTTGAGTCTCTTTATGGACTTTCTATTCTATTCCACTGGTCTATTTGCCTATTCTTCCACCAATACCATGTATTTTTGTAGAGGCTTTATAGTATATTTCAATATCTGGTAGGACTAGTCCCCCCACCTTGAAATTTTTCTTTTATTTTTGGCTGTTATTTCATTGGTGTTTTTCCGTATAAACATCAGCATCAACTTACCAAGTTCATAAAAAACTTTTTGATATTTCATTAAATGAATAAGTTGACTTAGGGAGAACTAAAATGTTTATGATGCTGAGTTATCCTATTCCATTTGTTCAAGTCTACTTTTGCGTTTTGTAGGAATTTTTAAATATTTCCTTCCTATAGATTTGTTACATTCCTTATTAATTTTATTCTTAAGTATTTAATATGCTTTGTTGCTATTATAAATGGAGTTTTTCTCTACCATTATTTCCTTCAGCTGGAGATTGTGTATATGAACACCATTGATTTTTTAATGTTAATTTTATATACCACTACTTTAATGAATTATTTAATAAAATTAGTTGTATCATTGACTCTCTAGAGTTTTCTGTATATACTACCACATGATCTGCAAATAAAGATAGTTTTTCTCTTTTATTTTTTCTTTTATTTCAGATTGATTTCACTTCTCTAATTGCTTTGGCTTGTACCTCTAGTACAATGTTATATAGAAGAGAAAGTAGGCACCCTTTACTGGTTGCTGATATAGATGAATACTAGAAGCGTTTAGTTTTTTCCAATAAGTAAGATACTAGCTTTAGGACTAATATACATATGTTAAGAATAATCCTAAAAGCAAAGTGGGCAGAGGCAGGCATCGGGACAAGAGCCTGCTGAGAGTTTGATTCCCTGATGACCAAATCAAAATGAGGAGGAGGACATGGGAAACTGTTCTAAGCCTGTGAGGGGACCCTCAATTTGAGTCGTGGAAAGACTATGTGAGGTTTCCAGATACCATGATGCGTTCTTCCTGCACAGCTCAGAGATTTCTTGTCCCACTCCTCATCTACACTTGGGACTGCCATGGATTTCTAAGCTAGTCCTGAAGTCTGTTAAATTCCTCAAGCTGGCTTAGACACTGTAATTCCTCAGTAATCTATTTATCTCTAACCTTGTCATACATGACTTCCCCCTTCACCCTGTTGACTGAGAGCTATGGCCTTGGCTTAGTTACCAACACACTCTACACAGGATAGAGATAATAAAATTCTCTCTAAGAAACAAAGGATTACATAAATGTATGGTATTGATGTTTTTGCTGTTACTGAGATTTTCTGTAGAAATTATCTGAATTTGGTCATTTGATTCTGTCCAATATCATTTACATCCAAGGACATTGAAATCACATGTTCATTTGGGTGGTACCAGGTGAAGATAATAGACATCATTCAATTTTACCCCACATCCTTCATAGTAAGGCTCAAACGAGTTAAGCAAAAATTTAAGGACATTTAAATAGTGATCAGACCACTCCCTTTCTAACTTTCAAATCTAAGTTTATTTCAGTGCCCTCTACTGATTCCAGAATGATGGGGAGCTATTGTGGGATGCAGAATTGGATTAAAAAAAAAAAGAATCAAATGGAGTTATGCTGTACCAAACACAATGATAAATTGTGAAGCCACAGAAGCAGAAAAATAACAATTGTTGGTAACAGAATGTCTTCTATAGATATTGACAGAATAGACACATGAGAAAACAGAATTTTAGCCAAAGAAAGGCAAGGAAATAGGCAGTTTCCATACATAAGAAGGCAGAAAAGGTAACAAGACCAGGGGATGGCTTGAACATTGTTGAAAACCAAGACTAAAACAACTGTTTAACGAAGCAAACAGCCTGGGGATAGTGGTACCCTCAACAATTACGGCAGGAAGATCATCCTGCTGACACAATATAGTTAAATATTTGAAATAAACAAGACATACAATTATAGCTATGTTTTCTTTTCTCTAAGAAGCTCACTTTTAGTGGAAACTTTGAGGCAAAGTTTCATAATTAATTCTCTTCATGTCTCCTTTTCTCTTTATCGATAACTGGGTGTTCCTATCTGGTCTCAGCAGTATCATATTGCACTTTGGCGCAAATATGCATCCCAGTAACCCCAGGCTGGAGGCTAGTATGGAGAAGATCTCCATGGCCACCGTGATCTTCCCCTTGGTGCTCTGGTAGTTGGGCAGGAAGGACACCCAGATGCTGCAGAACATCAGCATCCTGAATGTGAGGGACTTGGCCTTATTGAAGGTGTCAGGGAAGTTCCTGGCTGCAAAAGCAATAGAGAAGCTCACCAAGGCCAGGACACCCATGTAGCCCAGGACCCAGTAGAAGTGGTGGCTAGGCCTCATTACACCCTATGATGATGAGTCCAGGCTCAGAGTATGGGTCTGTGTCTGGAAACGGGAGAGAGCTCACCAGCCACACCCCACAGAGAGTCTCTTGGATCAGAGAGCAGGTGAGAATGAAGGAGTTAGAAGCTCTGGGCCCTGTGCAGTGCCTGACCCTGCTCTCTGGTCTTGTGGCCTTAAAGGCCAGAACCACAGTGATAGTCTTTGACAAAATGGTGGAAAGAGCTATTGTGAATACAATTCCAAAGGTTGTTTGTCAGAGGAGGCAGGTCACTGTGGTAGGACAACCAACGAAGAGCAAGGAGCAGAGGAAGCAGAGGGTCAGGGAGATGAGAAGAATACAGCTGAGGGACCGATTGTTGGCTTTGACAATGGGAGTGTCCTGATGCCTCACAAAGACCCCCAGAACTAGAACTGTGAGGAGAGAGAAGGAAAGAGCTGCACAGGCCAAGGTCATTCCCAAGGGTTCTTCTATGGCCAGGAAGGTGGTGGCCTTGGGGAGGCAGCGATCTCTCTCCTTGTTTAGGTACTGGTCCTCTGGGCACTTCTCACACTGACCCAGGCCTGAAAGGGACAGATGGGTACAGCAGGAATGGGTTCAGAAACAGTATTCTGACTCCAGGTAGAGCCCCAACCTTAACACTTAATACTTGCACAGCTCTAATATGTATCCTCCTTTGGTCTTAAAACCACATTTTTTAATTCAAGCCCTTGGCATGTCCAGCTGTTTCCCCAGGTCAGTGCTTTGTGTGCCCCTCCCTAGTGACCTGAAACATGTATCTCTCACCTTTAATGTGTGGAAACAGGGTAATTTACAGATGTATGCACTTGAATCATGTCTGCCTTAGGGCTCATCCTTTTAGATTAAAGAGATCTATTTCTTTTCATCTTTATTTACAGGAATATAATTAAATTAATTTGATTATTTTGGATTTCTCTTCTTTAATCTTCTAGGTCTGTATGTAAAATTACTCAATTACAGGCATTGTGTCAAACTTTTAGATAAACTCTCTCACCTAAGCTTCGTGAGAAACCTGAGGTAGGCCTTAAGTCCCAATTTATAGTCAAGAAAGCTGAGGTTCTATGGGATCAGGAATGAGTCCAGTCCTACCAATATCTTCCTTTTGCTATTAGAAAAGATTCCCCTAGCCCTACCATGCCCAAAGGGCCCAAAATGAACTGGACTGTTCTCACCCTGTACTTTTCTCTCCTTCCTCTTATTTCCACTCTCAGAAGTCTACTTTCCGTTCCTCAGACAAGCAGTGCTTCCTTCCTTCTGACTGTAATGGTCCCCATCCCACCCCATCCTTCATCGCAGTAACTTATGCTGTCCCGGTTTTCAATGACACCTCCTCAAAGCAGGGTTCCTGTAGTGTCTGATCAGGTGCCCTGGGCCATGCCCTCAAGGCCCACTGTCCTATTCGCTTTCTAACCCTTAGCACAGTTTTTTTATAATATACATTTTTTATTGTGCCTGCCTCTACTCTACAGGAAGAATAAATTTCATGAAGACAGGAATTATGTATTTTTTTTTCCTCACCATATCTTCCCTAGCACTGAGCACAGTGCCTGGTCTATAATAGCTAATAATTAATATATTTGTAATGAATGGGTGAATTAATGAACGTTGTAATCATAAATGGGTTTTAGTTCCAATTTTGACATTTAATATACAAGTAAATTCACATGAGTGACATTTACTTTCTAAACTTCTATTTCCTCATCTGTAAAATGAGGATCATAATACATAATTCCTCAGCATGAGAAATAAGTGTGAAAGTGCATGTAGAACACTCAGCAGAAGCTCTGGCATATATTAAATACTAATACCTGGTGGCTGCCCTCATTGTCACACTCATCATGCCCACTATCATTACCACTGTCACAAATGCTACCCTATGCTTCACTGGTGGGTCCAGCTTCCTTCCTGATCTGACTAAATTCTGACCTCAGTGCCTTCCCAAGTCTTCTGCCTGTTAGATCCCTTTTCACCTGAGATTAGTTATCCCAGCTTGTGTTTATCTGACCACATTGAATCTCTAGGCCCTGAAGATTGCATTAATTAGGTACCTCCCCTTCTTCCCTCTGTGCACATGTGAATAGATGGATACATGGACCTCCCCAGAGCTTCCCGCCCCTCTTTCCTGGGCTGACCATAGGAAGAGTCTACACTTATACATAGGTTTGGCCTCATAAAAGCAGAGCTATCCTGAAAGTTGGTCTTCAAACGGGCTCCAGTGTTAGGTATTGAACATTTTCTCAGTTTTAGTAGTCTTGATACCACCTTCCATTCCCAGGTAGATAGTACCCCAAATTCTTTCCCTAATCCCACATCCAAACCTGCTCTCAGGTCTTCAATTTCCTTTAGTTTTCCTAATTGTGTAACAGCTTATAGGGACACCTTCACAAGAGTTTTATAGCCTTTATATATTGCTTTAAACTCAAGATATTGTTTAGTTGGTTTTAGTAGAATTTCAGTGTCTGCCACCTGATTGGAATCTTTGCATATTAGGACCTAGGGTAGGTTATGCAACAAGCATGAGACTTGATTACCATATAGATGGGGAAGAAGCCATCTCTGCCACACACATACCGTGTTTCCCGGTTATGTCTTTTTTCATCCACCATATTTCTCTGTGCTTCCAGCTCACCACTCTGCTCTTTTTCATGGGCTTCTCCTGAGTTCTTCATGTCAGGTATCCTCAGAGACAGCTGTCCCCGAGCAGTTGTGGATCACTGTCGGCCCATTCTGTTTCTGTGGCAGTGGAGGAAAAGAGAACAGTTTCTCTCCAGACCCTTACCTGGCTCGTTGGAAATCTCCCCCACTCAGCATAGGACACAATCAAAGCAGCAGATGGGCTCCACATCACAAGTAGTTTTCCTAAACCCAGGACCACAGCTTGGAGAACACTCAGAGATGGGCTTCTGAACAGAAATGGGAGAGCAGAGTTCATAGAGGTTTAATAGCAAAGGGAAGGTCAAGAGGGCGGCATTGGAGAATATCTACTTATATTTATGTAGCTATATGTAAAACAGGTATGAAACTATTTCTGATATGTATCTAGGGAACAGAGAAATTAGAAATGAAACCAAATAAATTAAGTCAGTGTTGATGTTAGTCAAGGAGCTTAATGCAAGGTACCTGAATAAGTTCCAATTGTGCAGGGATCGGATGGAAGAGACTACAGGACTAAATATTGTACCAGAAATGATTGCTCAATCACATCAAAACGAATAGTTGAGTAATTTAATAATTATTGACCCCCAGTAGGCATGTTAGTGAATTATTAACAGAAATTAATGATTTATTGACCAGTATAGACACTCAGGATGCCTGATCAGGTTGGTTTGGTTTGATTATATTAGGTGCTGACAAATATCAAAATATTTTTAACGAGATCTACGTGAACAAATTATTTTGTGTTTTAAGGCAAATAACTACCTCTTTAAGAGATAAAAAGTTATTTTATTCATATAAGTAGTGTACATATTAAGCCTAAATGGACAGAGAATTATTTTTTGATTCATTACATTGTTTTCTCCATGGCAATTTATGTTTATGTTGATTCTGACCATTTAACAAAAAGCTATTGCCCACTTTATGACCTCCTCACGGATGGTTAACTCTGGGTCCAGCAGTGCTCTGGGGATAAAGTGCCCCACGTTCACCAGCTCTTCAGTGTCATTGAGGTGTCTACAAACATAGTTCATAATGTCATATTTTGCCTCAGGGTTATTTTCTTCATCTAGAAATACCTGGTCACCCACACTGTTGCTGAAATTGATGTCCTTCAAAGAGCTGTGGAGCTAATTGCAAGGAGAAATCTCTATTACAGCTTCTCTTGAGAGCAGGGGGATCACAGTGATGATCGCTAGATGACTCAGGGTCGGTGGCCTGAGGCTGGCAGCATCTATGGAGGCCCAGGGGGCTCTACCGACTAGGAGGGCCTTCAGATGACTCAGTGCTGCCATCATATTGGCCTGTTTCACTGATTCCAGGACTGGGAAACAGTCCTATGACTGGTGCATATTAAACAGGACTCAAACCAATTTTCACAGCTAATTTAACAAAATTAGAAATCTCCTAAATCAAGAACATCATTTGAGAAAAGTGAGATTCTGAGAAATTCCATGACTCACCTAATGAGCAACATATTTTTAGTATCATAGTTAAGAGAAAAATCAGCATATTTCCCCCAACTAGTAGGTATCCCATTTACTGGTATTTTCCTGTTTCACTGTAGACTGGCTTTCCTAGTTTGCTAGAGTGTATATGGGATTATTGATGCAAACAGTCAAATGACTGGTCTCTCTCAATCATAATTTGGAATTACTGTGAGAAGGACTTCTGTTCACCAAGGTTGGGTAATAGCCCTTCCCTGCCCCCAATTGATATGGCCAGGAGTGGAGTTTCTGGACTCGGTGTGGGATCAGAATCGTCCCAGAGTCCAGGGCAATCTGCCATCTGTCAGTGAGAGAACTCTGTGAACGTAAGATGTCATCACTTTCTCCAGCAGGGCTTCAACAGAAGCCTCCCTTCTGGCTTCCTGTAGTGGTTACAAGGCCTTGTTGAACTATAAAGTAAGAAAAAGGCTTTATACTGTCCATTAAGTTCTGTGTGCTAACTAGTTTGAGAGATAAATCCTGCAGCTTTTGCAAAATAAAGCTACCTCCCATTTTGATAACCACTTCAAAGTGAATCAGCTGCAGCTTAGTTTACAATGAATGTCTGTTTCTTTCCTTCTGTAGGTCCCCTGTGGTCTGAGGATAAAGCTCATCTCCTCATTATAAAAAGCAACAGAGTTTCTTAAAGCAATGTATTTCCTGAGACACTAGACACGAGTAGGAAAGCTGTAGCTGTGGCTGAGCAGATTAACATTAGAAGGAAATACTGAAGTCTTTAAAATGAAACAAACAAGCAAAAAAACATGCTGCTGCAGCTCTGAACCCAAGGATTATGGTGCCTGGGGACCCAATTCAAGACAAAAGTCTTACGTTCCAGTGATAGGATGCTGGGCTGCTTCCATCCTGTATTCATCCCCTTTCAGATCTGATTAGCAATATATCATGGAACGCCCAGGCCACAGCATAGAGAGCACTGAAGATGATGTAACTGTTGGCAGACATGCTCACTTGAAAATACTTCAGGGGGAGTGTGTCCAAGGAAGCATTTGGTAAGCATTTTGCTTGCTCCAGGCACGTCTGGGCCCTGAAAGGCTGAGTGCCAGAAACTCTTAAGAAAAATATTCTCTGGGCATTTAGAAGACTTGACTTTCCTGAGGAATGTCCCAAATTCAGGAATATCATCTATCTGATGAGAGAATATCAGAGACCCATCAAAACAGTGACTGTATCAATGGTTGGGCTTCATGGTAACATCCCAGTGAGGCAAGATGACCCACACTTTTGTTACTATTGAAGAAATGAACTGTGAATATCTCATGATCATCAGGGAATCTGAATTGCCACGAATGACAATCGCTGTAGCTGATGATTCTATGAACTTAATCATGAGATTATGAAAGGCTTCCTTCTCTCTCTCACTGATAGGGATCTTCTCTAAACAAGCTGCACAGATCCTATTATTGGCCATTTTTTCTCTCAGATCTAAGAGAAAACTTTCACCCCTCATGTCATCTGGGGCAGCAAGTTCCACCTAGGTGCAGCCAAAATGCAGCATCAACTGGACCATGGCCTTAGGCAGAGAGACTCCTTGGGGGCCATCTGACAAGGGGATGGATACCAGACTTCGTCACTCAGAATGGGATCATATGGTCCATAGATGATCTGGATGGGGGAAAAATGGGTCATTTGAGGTTTTTAAATAGCAAAAATTGATTACATTAAGGTAAAAATCATCCCTTCGTGGCCCTTCTTATAAAATTTTTTTAACGTTATAGAATTGATCATAAATTAGCTGCTGCAAAGTTCAGCAGTAGAGAGGATTCAGGTTACCCCTGAAAGACCCAATCTATTCCACTTCCTCTTGGAATTCAAGAACTGAAACACAGAACTCCATCCTCTTACATCTAGTCACGTGGAAGTGGTCCAGGTTGGTTTGATATATATTAGTCTCCCTACCTTTTATTTATTTATTTTTTTTGTGAGGAAGATCAGCCCTGAGCTAACATCTGCCAATCCTCCTCTTTTTGCTGAGGAAGACTGTCCCTGGGGCTAACATCTGTGCCCATCTTCCTCCACTTTATATGGGACACTGCCACTGCATGGCCTGACAAGTGGTGCGTATGTGCGCGCCCAGGATCCGTACCGGCGAAACCTGGGCCGCCGCAGCGGAGTGCGCGCACTTAACTGCTTGCACCACCAGGCAGGCCCCTACTAGTCTCCCTCCCCATCTTTCCCCTCTACCATCCCCAAATAATTCCTCAAAATGCAAGACCCCTAGTTATAGCCAGTCTTGCCTGGACAATTTAATGGAGAATGTGTCAATCTCACTTCACCCTTTCACATGACAGAGGATCTAAGAAAAGCAAAGGAAACAATGGGCTGCCCTCACCTGTGGGAACTTGTAGAGCTCAAGAAGTGCTCCCATCTGGACCGACAGGGAAGAGGTGGCCCCTCCAGTGACAGCCACTGACTTGGCCTGCCTCTGGCAGCTGTAATTGGGGATGGTGGAATCCCCACCAGTCAGCCACTTCAGGGAGGTCCTACTATCACTGTGGTGGGTGCTATAGATATGGAATCCCACAGGAATATTGGGCAAAAGATCATAGTCCCTGTTAACCTCCTCCACAGCAAATTCCAGAGCCAGGGCCTGCTGGTAATGTTAGTGGAGCCACCTGCAGAGAAAGAACAGAGTGATCTGTCAGCACAAGACTTCCAAGAGCTTGTTAGTTCTGGAACAGCCAATCTTAGAGCCTACAGCTCAGATGTTCACAGAGTGTGAGCATGGGCAACAGTGGCCTCCCCAATATCCTTGTGCACATTTGGATCTCATTAATGTTCTTGGAAATACAGCCTGAGTTCCCTGTGTCCCTCGACACCCAATGAAATGTCAGACTTCCAGGACCTAGTCAGGTAATTGATTATTTCCTTGAACATAGAACTGATGGATTAGGATATAAACTATACCATGATTAAAACAGTGATTTTTAAATTTTTCAGTTTTAATAAAGATTTTTACACTAATAAGCTTAGATAAGGATGACTTTTGCGCAGTCACCACACATTATGAACTTATTAACAGGGATTCTTTGAACTAATATTGTTGAATATGGAGGGGAGAGAGAGACAAAACAGAATAATGATGAGTTTAAGATTTGGGAATCAGACTGCTACAATATGAATCCCAGATCCACCACATACTAGCTATGTGAGATTAAACTCTGTTGATATCATTTTCTCATCTCCAGGATGAAGATGATAATAATAACCCACCTCATGTGGCTGTTTTTAGGGTTGAATGAGTTCATCCGCATATCACATATCACTGCCTGACACATAATGTTCAATAAGTACTAACCACTGTTACTACCACTGCTGCTTATCTCTTAATATTCTCATGCCATGAGGGCTTTTGGCTTAAAATACAAAATTCAGTCCATCCTAGAAATGCAATTCAGTGGTGGTGTAGGTCCGAGCCTGGGAACCAAACCTGGGCTGCCGAAGCAAAGTGCGCCAAACTTAACCACTAGGCCATGGGGCTGGCCCCTGCAATTTGATGTTTTGATATAATGGAGATATGATTATAATCCATGATCTATCTGCTCTTGGATCTTGACTTCCCTAATTCCTCTCCTCCCCACTCTTCTCTCTCTCTCTGTCCCTCTCTCACAGACACACAGAGCAATAGACCATTCAAGATATCTTAGTATCTTCCTGATTCTTATTGGTGAGCCAAATTCTCAATCAGGTTTGTGAACACTATGATACCGGCTCAAGACAAGGTGGACATAAGGAAAGCCATACTGGAGAAAAGAAACCCTGTTGTAACTTTGAACGACCTCCGACAAAGTAACCCAGCTGGGTATGCACACTCCAGGAGATCTAACTGCTCTGTAGATTTTACAAGCCCTGCTTGTGCATGTACCTCCCAGCTGTGATAAGATGATAACTTTGTTCTTTTGAGTTCCTTAGGAATGTGATGATCCCCGAACAGAGAGTCTATGCTGATAGCCATCATCAATGAAAACTGAAAGATCTGGGGTGGCTCTCCCAGTCTGTAACACCAAAAGGTCAACATTCCTAACCCCCTCCCTTGTAACCCACCAGCCTATATAACTGCTGTAAGATTTTGTGCCCCCTTAAGATGGTTCTTTCAGACATTAGTTGGCCATCTTCCCTCTTGCTAGCATGCTGTAATAAACAACCCTTTCTTTTCCACCATCTTGCCTCTTGACGATTGGCTTTTGTCTCATGGCAAGCAGATCATGCCCTTTGTGCGGTAACAACTAGATATTTAATTCTTGAGCACAAAATGATGGTTTTGGATAAATGAATTAAGGGATTTCTCAAAGTTTTCACTTTATAAGTGTTATTGTGGAAACTCCCTGACATGTGGCTATCATTTTCTACTTCACCAAACAGGATATGAGAAAAAAGTATGTGTGGAGTAGAGAGGTTCAGAATTTAGAGTTTGGGGTGAAGTCTGATCCTCCAGGGACAACATGACTCTGGTCATTATGGGGATAAAGGACTCTGGTGAACTGGCATGGAGCAGGTGGCTTGGGCCTCAGAGAGAGTCTCTTCATCTTTTCGATTCACAAACATGCCATAGGCTGACCATGGTAGACAGATGTGTTGAGAGCACTAGAACCCTCAAAGAGAGGAGAAAGGGGAGAGGGCCTTTATATGCAGTTCATGTAATTAGACTGTGGGAGTTTAACAGGTTGTTGGTGGGGAATGAAGAGAAAGGAAGGAAAGAGAAGGAGAGAGCAGGGGAATGGAAGGGAAGAGAAGGAGAAGGGAAGGGAGAGGGAGGAAGGGCTGGGAGAAGAGGAGATTTTGCATCTTTTTGTATGAGTTTTGGCCATTGAAATTCCCTCTTTTGTGAACTGCCTTGTTTATTTCATTTGATAGTTTATCTTGTTTTCATCATTTTCTTTTTTTTTCATCATTTTCTTTTTAACTTCAAAAAATTATCCTTATGTTCTAGGTACTAGTATTTTTTCAGTTATATATGTTGCAAATATCTTTAAATTTTTGGCTTGACTTTTCACTTTAAGTGGAAAGAAATATTTTATAAACAGAAGTTTTTAATTTTAAAATGAGTAGATGACTTACTCTTTCTCTTTAGTACTTTTTGTACCCTACATATTAGACATTTCAATCTTCAATCCACCTGGAGTGTGTATTACACGAGGTAGAGATACACCTTTATTTCTTTCCATCCAGATAACTAATTTTTCAACTAATTTATAAAAGAGTCCCTCCTTTACCTATTGATTTCATGTCACCTCTGTAATAGATCCAAGTGTGATAAATGCATGAGTCTGTTTCTGAACTGTCTATTCTGTTCCCTTGGTCACTCCATCTATACTTTCAGTGAAACCATGAGTCTCAATTATTCTACTTTATGAAGTCATGATGTATGTCTGGTAGAGAAATCCTCCACCCTGCACTCTACTTCTTCATTGGCATCATGGTTATTCTTGTTCTTTTGCTCTTCCGTATAAATTTTAGGGCTATCACTGAATCTAGAGAATAATTTGATTGAAATTGAAACCTTCAGATATTGAGTCTTCCTATTCATGGATATTTCTCGTATTTTAAAATTTTCTTTAATATCCTCTTATAGGCTTTATAATTTCTGCACATGAATATTATATAAATTTTTTAAAAGTACTAAATTTTTTAGTTCATGTAATTAATTAATACATTAAAAAATACATGTTTACTTGTTTGTCACTAATGTCTAGAAACGTGACTGAGGACTGCTCATTCTTCTATTTTGCATAATGACAAACTAGTTCATTTGAACCCATTGAAGAAAACTAAAAATTCTGGCTGAAATATTTTTAAAAGTTTTTGAAGTAACACAGATCTAATAAGACATGGGTCAGTTCCTGGGGATGAGGGAAATCCAGAAGAGAGAAAACCAGACAATTGTCATTTCTTGATACAAACAGACAACTGAGAGGTTGAGACTTTTTTCACAGCCCCTTGGAGCTGTAAAGAACCTGGTAAACCACTCCTGTCTATGTGGCCTGGAAACCTATCGATCTGTCCCGGAAGAATAAGGATAAACAGGTAGTAAACCAGGCCTCACAATAAAGGCAGCCAAATGTGGAATCAACTTGGTGACCCAGAAAATCTCAAATCCTGAAATTGGATAGAATTGATCCAGTATGGCTAGTGCTGTAGACTCTTGGAAAAAGCAAATTAAAAGCCACTTTTGAGGAAGATAATGTTATCCTAGTCCTAATTATTTCTACAAATAATTTGTTAAATATAATGTTGAACACATAATCAATTATACCAAGACACCTTAGGAAATAAGATACCATAAGCACAAAACTGCAAAAACAACAGATAATAGAAACAGTCCCAGATATTGGAACTACCAGACACAGACTACGTGATAACCACGCTTTCTACAATCAAGTATGTAAAACACAAGGTTGAAACTTGGCAAGAAGTAGGAATCTATAAAATGTGACTTAATTGATTAAACAAGGAGAGAAATTCTAGAAAATATACACCACCACCAAATTAAGAACCAAATGAGTATGGTTTAACAACAGATCATACACTAAAGAAAGAAAACAAGACAAAAGGAACTATCCAGAATAAAACACAGAGAAAAAGTAGATAAGCCCCAGTAAAAGAGGAGTGAGAGAAACGGGGCACAGTCAATACTTTAGCAGTGACTGAGAAGTTCGTATAACTGACAAAAGACTTCAAGACACATATTCAAGGAGCACTGCAAACTCCATACATCAAGCAATATAAGAAAGGTAACTTAGGCATTCTGAAAATCAAATATAAAGAAAAAATCTTAAAAGCAGATGGAGAAAAAACACAGATTGTCTTTAAAAGAGCTAAATCTAAAAAGAGTTAAATTGACAACTGATTTCAGCTCACAGGTTCTAATAGAAGCCAGAAGACAGTAGATTGATGAAAACAATGTGTCCTAAGAAAATAACTGCCTATATAAATGATATACTCAGCAAAAGTATCCTTCAGGAATGAAGGAGAAATAAAAATATCTTCAGACAAAATGAGTCAATGAGAGAGTTTGCCACCAGCAGACCTATACTAAAAGAAAGTCTAAAAACAGGACAGGAAGAAGTTCTAAAAAACAGAATTTGAGGAGATCCCAGGTGGAAGATCAGAGATGTAGGGAATAATAAAGAACAATTAAAATAGTAAAAAGGTATGTAGTTGTAAATTAACGTTTACTAAAATAATAACAATATCACATGGAGTACACACAACACACACACTCATACACACACACAGAGTATATAACTCAAGAGAGCAGATTAAATGGAGTTAAGTGTTCTAAAGCCCTTGCACTATCTAGGAGGAGATAAACTAATCATAGATGATGAAAAGTCAAGGAGGAATAGTATAATTTTTAAGATAATTACTAAAATAGAAAGAGAGAGAGTGTATAACTTTCAAAGTAATTAAGGAAAAAATAGAGTAATAAAAATCTGAAGGACACAGAAAGAAGAGAAAGAGAACATATAAGAGCAGGAAAAAAAGAGAAAAAATAGTAAGATGATATATTTAAAACAAAATATATTAACAATTGCATTATATTTAAAGAGACTGATTGCTTCAGTTAGAAAGCAAAGTTTAATAACCTGGAAAAATAACAAAACCTAATTATATACTGCTAAAAGAGAGACATATAAAACATAAGATCACAGAAAGTTTGACCACAAAATGTTGGAAATATACATACCATGCAGACAGTAACCAAAAAAAACCTAGTGTGGTTATTCCAATAATAGAAAAATTGATGTATCACTAAAGATAAAGAAAGACACTTCAAATGGTAAAATGTTTTTCACTTAATAATATGACCTCAAATATATGAAGCAAAAATTGGCAGAACTACACAGTGAAATAGACAAATCTACAATTATCAAGGGAGGTTCTGATACATAGACTTCAGTAATTTTCAGTAAGATTTCAGTAATTTCAGTAATAGGTTTCGTAGGTTCAGTAATCCAGAAAAGCTATTCAGTAAAGATTTCAGTAAAATTGGAAAGAATTGAACAGCATGATTTAACAAAATAGACCTAATGAACACATATCCAGTACTGCACCTCAAATTGCTAAACACATAATCTTTTCAAGCACACACAGAACTTTTATAAAAACTAACCATATTTGGCACTTAAAGCTAGTCTCAAAAAATTTCAAAAGACAAACCATAGAGCATGATCTCAGTCCTCAATGGAACTGAACTAGGACTCAATGAAATAAAAGAGAATCAGTATATCTATGTATTTGCAAATTAAGAAATGTATTACTAAATAACCCAAGGTCAAAGAAGAAAATCCAAAGGAAGAGAGAAAATATTTTTTGAGTAGTGAGATACCAAAACCAAAAAATAGCAAAATTTGTGGATGAAACTAACAAGATACCTATAGAAAAATAATTTCTATAATTAAATACATATATTAGAAAATAAGACTAAAATTTAGAGCTATGCATACCTATGAAGAAGTTAGAAAAATAAGAGAAAATTAAACCCAAAGAAAGAATAAAAGAAATAAGTATAATAACATAAACTAACAAAATAGTAAACAAACCTATAATAATGAGTTAGTAAAGCCAAAAGTTAGTTCTTTGAACAGACTAATATGCATAAGAATAGGAATTGTTACTTATAGATGATATGCTATTATAAGAAGAAAAACAAAAAGGAGTTCTCAGATAAATTATTAGATTTAATAAGTGAGGTTAGCAAGTTTTCTGGATACAAAATCAACATAAAAATAGAATTATATTTCTGTATGCTTTTTAAAAATTGTAAATTTTAAAAGCTTCCATTTACAATAACATCAAAAAATATCTGGAAAAGATGAGGAAGACATCTCTTTGAAATCTATAAAGTATTATTGAGAAATATTAGAGGAAACCAAAATCAAGGAGGAGATACCCCTTCAATGGAGAAGTAGATTGGAAAACACAATTGTGTAAGGTGTCATTTCTGCCCAACATGACTTACAGATTCAACAATATCACAACAGGACTTATCCTCGTTTCTTTTCTTTTGTGAGAAAGCTAGTATGGTTATTGTTAAATTTATATGGAAAGTCTAAAAGCCAACAATAGACAACACATTCTTTAAGAATATGAGAACTGCCTCCACAGCATGTCAAAGCCATAGTAATCTATAGTAGTCTGTAAGGATATAGAAAGCTATAGTAAGTAAATACTGTAATGTTGGTGCAAAGATGGGCAGATAGACCAATGGAATAGAATAGAAAAAGCCACACACTCACGCATATATGGACTCTAGATTTCTGACTAAAAACAGCCACTACACAACGTAGAGAAAGGACAATATTTCAATAAATGCTGCCTGAGCAATCGAGTATCTTTTTTTTTTTTAAAAAAAGGACCCACTACCTCACACTTTGCAAAAGAAGAGATTAATTCAAGCTGAATTACAGACCTAAATGTGGAAGGCAAAAAAAGTCTTGAAAAGTAAATAGGAGAACATCTTCACAATCTCCGTGTAGGGAAAGATCTATTAAACAATATTTTTAAAAGTTAAAAAATTAAGGAAAAGCCCAATAAATTTTACTAGATTAAAATTAAAGTGATTCTATTTATCAAAAGACACCTTTAAAGAGATTGGAAACATAAGCAGGGGGGTGAGAGAATGTATGTACAACATACGTAATACACAAAGGACTACTAGGCCGAGTATTAAAAACAAAAAGAAGAAAACAGAAAAACTCAATAGAAAGAGGGACAAATGACTTAAATAGGCAGTTCACAAAAGAGGAAATGCAAATGGCCAATAATAATATGAAAAGGTCCTTATCAGGGGAACCAAAAGTAACATCACAAAATGAAATTCCTGTAAGTCCCAGCGAGTTTGGTTGATGTTGGGAGCAATAGGAAAAGCAATTTCCTGCTGGAGGGAGGGTGAGGTAAATTAGTGTAACCACTTTAATGTTATAAAACATTTAGGCCATGTTCAATAAAGTTGAAGATATGAATCCCCCACAACCCAGCAGTTCCCAGTGAGATGTACGCACATGTGCTGGCCCATGGACCAGGAGACATATACAAGAACACTCAGAACAGTAGAATTAATAATAGTTAGACAAAAGGTTGGCTTCCATTTATATGAAATTCAAAAACAGGCAAAACTAGCTTAGTTTATGGTGTTTAGGGCTGCGAACTTAGGGAGTAAAAACCTAAAGCAAATCAAGATAGTGATTACTATAAAGATCAGAAGGTGGTCATCTGTTTGGAAATAGACAGAGTTGCCATTGGGAAGCGGCAGGGACTCCAGGGATGCTGCAGACTTCTATTTCTTGACCCAAAAGTGGGGATACAAAAATATATGCAGATATAATGGTTTCTCCCTTCCCTTTTCACCTTGTCCAATACTTCCATGATGACCACCCACATTCCAAGGCTAGTCTCCAGACTTTGTCAGTTTTACAGAGTTATTCATTCACATCAAAACTGCTTGGGAAAGGATTAACTTGCTGCTCCATCCCACCTCCTTCTGAGTGTGTGGTGACTGAGAGCTCAGCCATGACTTCCCAAAGTGCAGCCGGAGTTGAGTCGTCCTGCCCTTTAGGAACCAAAATTACAAAAATGTAATGTTTTGGATTAGTAATGTTAAATATCTTTTATACACTTGTTGGTCACATGTATGTCTTCTTTGGAGAAATGTTTATTCAAGTCCTTTGCCCATTTTGTAATCAGGTTATTTCTTTTTTGCTATTGAGTTGTAGAAGTTTTTATATTTTTTGCATATTAACCCCCTATCAGATATGTGGTTTTCAAATATTTTCTCCCATTCTATGGGTTGCCTGTTAATTGTTTCCTTTGCTGTAAGAAGCTTTTTAGTTTGATGTAGGCCCACTTGTTTATTTTTGCTTTTGTTGCCTTTGCTTTTGGTGTCAAATCCAAAAAAATCATCACCAAGACTGATGTCAAGGAGCTTACCACCCATGTTTTCTCCTAGGAGTTTTATGTTTTCAGGTCTTACATTTAAGTCTTTAATCCATTTTGAGGATTAGTTTTTGTGTATGGTGTAAGATAGTGGTCCGGTTTCATTCTTTTGCACGTGGCTGTCTAGTTTTCCCAACACCATTTATTGAAGAGACTATCCTTTCCTCATTGTATATCCTTGGCCTCTTTGTCATAAATTAATTGATCATATATGCGTGGATTTGTTTCTGGGCTCTCTCTTCTGTCCCATTTATCTATGTGTCTGTTTTTATGCCAATGCCATACTGTTTTGACTGCTATAGCTTTGTAATATAGTGTGAAATCATGGAGTGTGATGCCTCCCATTTTGTTCTTTTTTCTCAAGGTTGCTTTGGCTATTCAGGGTCTTTTGTGGTTCCATACAAATTTTAGGCTTGTTTGTTCTATTTCTGTGAAAAATGCCACTAGAATTTTGATAGGGATTGCATTGAATCTGTAGATTGCTTTGGGTAGTGTGGACATTTTAACAATATTAATTTTTCTAATCCATGAGCATGGAAAATCTTTCTGTTTATTTGTGTCTTCTTCAATTTCTTTCATCAATGTCTTATAGCTTTCATTGCACAGGTCTTTCACTTCCTCAGTTAAATTTATTCCTAGGTATTTTAATCTTTTTTATGAAATTGTAAATGGGATTGTTTTCTTGATTTCTCTTTCTGATAGCTCATTATTACTTTATAGAAACATAGTAGATTTCTATATATTGATTTTGTATCCTGAAACTTTACTGAATTTATTTATTAGTTCTAACAGTTTTTTTTTTTTTTTTTTAGGTTTTTTTAAAAGACTTTATTTTTTTTTAGAGCAGTTTTAGGTTCACAGCAAAATTGAGAGGAAGATACAGAGATTTCTCATATGTGCCCTTCCTGCTCGCACCCCCAACCTCCTCCATTATCAACATCCCCACCAGATGGTACATTTCTTATAATTGATGAATCTCCATTGACACATCATAATCACCCAAAGTCTGTAGTTTACCTTAGGGTTCTCTTGTGGTGGTGTACGTTCTATGGGTTTGGACAAATGGATAATGACATGTGTCCACCATTATAGAATCATACAAAGCAGTTTCACTGTCCTAAAAATCCTCTGTGCTCCACCTATTCATCCCTCCCTCCCCCTAACCCCTGGCAACCATCAACGTTTTTACTGTCTCCATAGTTTTCTCTTTTCCAGAATGTCATATAGCTGGAATCATACAGTATGTAGCCTTTTCAGATTGGCTTCCTTCATTTAGTCACATGCATTTACGGTTCCTCCATGTCTCTTCATAGCTTGATAGCTCATTTCTTTTTAATAATATTCCATTATCCAGAGCAACTTTTTAAAGAATAATTTGGGATTTTTAAATATGAGTGCATTTTAGAGTACCCAAACAGAACAGTCCTTGGCGCATACTAGGTTATTCAGTAAACATTTGTTGAACGAAGGAGTGGATGACTAAGATAAATCCGAAACTGACGATGTAAAAAATATCTAAAAATGTCCAGTGCAATCTGGTCAATTTGGTGAAAAAAACCCAAATCTCTCCAACCTTCGAGTTCGAATGCCAGCTTTTCTGTGGGTCTTAGCAGCTGGAAGACAGGGCATTTTCCCTCTCACAGTGGGCAGTGGGCGACACCAGGAACAATATATAGATACGGTTCCTCAGATCCTGGGACCGAATGTGTTCTGCTAAGAGGAAGCAGAGGTGTCTCCTCCTTCCTTCTGCTCTCCTCTCTAGCAGACATCTGAAACGTGTAGTGCTTTTCCCTGACGGCATTGTCTCACGTCCCTCTTATTCTCTCTCCTCTGCCCCCTTTACCCTTCAGGGCAGCTGCTTTTGCAGAGAAGAGTAAGTACATTTTGGATTATAACAAGCACAACTTATTGCTTTGGGTGGGGCAAAAGGGTCCATGTTTTAGAGTGTTAACTTTGTGTATTAAATAATAAACCACAAACCGTCTCACCCTGATTCGAACCCTCCCCCAACTCTCCACGCTGACACTCTTCATTCTGCCAACCCGTCCTGTGCCACCCAGCCCGGCCGGCCCGGTCAGCTTTGGCCTCCTTACCCTCTGGCCTCCTTTGTCCTCCCGTCTCCACCCACCTGTTCTGTGTTCTCTGTGAGATGGTCAGTCAGCTGTGGCCATAGGAGGAGACAGTTTGGCTGGTTTGAGTAGTTTCCTTGGGCTTTGGGCGACAGGGGTGGTCCTAGTTGCCTGGCACCTGGCCCTGGATGATTCAGGAGGAGGAATCTCACCTCCTGGGTGCAGGGCAGATGGAGGGGGCCTGGCTCTGGGTGGTTGGTGGGCACATCACAGGCTGGGCCCTGCGCTGTCTCTAAGGATTGGCTACCTGGGAGGGGCAGTCTCTCCCCAGCCAGAAAGGGTTTTTAAGATGTCAAACATCATAATGTAGTGATAATTAAAAATACTTACAATACACCACCCTTGAAAAATCCTGCTCTCCAATGCACCAGATCCCTCTACTTCCTGGATGAGATATAGAGTTCTTGGTGTGCCCCACGTTGAGCCCTTGATGAATTCTTCATCTCGGGGCCTCCTCACACCCTACATTTCCCTAGAGTGTTTCACGACCTTCCCCTGCACAGCATCAGTGACTTCCTCCCCATGCCCTGGGCGCGTGGTTTATCCCCTGACCATGTATATTTCCTGTTTGTGTGCCTTCCCCTGGAGAGTGCAGCTCCTCCCTGGCTCATTTAGTACCACAGGGTGCTCGGCACGGTGCCTCTCCATGGGAGCATCTCTGTTGACATGTTCTCACCTGAGTCCCTTTCACCTTACAGATCGTGGCAAGGTGGTTGGTGGCTTACCTGATGTGGTGACCATAATGGAGGGCAAGGTAAGGACAGACAGCAGGACACAGTCAGGACGGCGTGGGGTTTCCCCCATTGTGGGGCCATCAGGCCGAGCACAGGGAACCTGGGCGGTGGGCTCATGTTGCTCAGCCTCCAGAGGACTGGGAGCCCCCTACCTACAGTCTGCTTGGCCTAGGCTGCCTCTGATGACCCTAGTGTTATCAAGGGACGGAAGAGTTTAATCTCCTGAATCCACATACGACACCTTGCAGCCACGTGCATGACTCAGGCACCACAGAGCAGGTGTTATGGCACCTGTTTCCGGGCCTGCACGGCCGCCTGCTTCTGATGCATCTGGTCAATCAAGGGAGTAACTGACCGGGAGCAGGGGGGCCACACCCACACCCACAGGACCCACCCCCCCTTGTACGAAGGTGGGAACCACTCTCTTCAAGTGTGAAATGAAAAAAAAAACCCTCTGCTCCAATTTTCAAGGTCATTTTTGAACATATAATGGAAGCCATTTATTGAGGTTCTAATTTGTCACCTGTCCGTGGGATTACTGATGTCTAACTGGGGGCTTCAGTGATTCCATCTCCATGTCACAGGGATGTGGATACCCGAGAGAATGTTATTAGGCCAGAATACAAAAATTTATAGACCTTTTCTTTAGCAGCTGAAGAAAGCCTAGAGTCTGAGGCGGAGGAGTCATGAATCTCACAATAAAGATGTAATTAAGAAATTAGCAAGTGTTATTTTATCATAGGCTGAAAGCATGTTTTAACAAAGTGTCAACAATGCATGTGATTTACTATAAGACAAAAAACCCTCTGGATATGCCAGAGGAACTGGTAAAATGGATCCATAAGTCTGAATACAAAGGAAATTTAGAAACAGGCTAAACATATCTACTGTGAAACGTAGAACCTGATTACCTTCAAATTCTTTGATTAACTTAAGACAAGGATTAACGTTGAGAATAAATAGAAAAAATTAGTGTTGATTTTTCTCACGAGGTGCCCCGTGAAACTGTGAACTTCTCTGCATCCTGAGTTTTTTCGATCCCTGGTGTCTAGCATGGTGCTTACATATATAAAGAGCAGGTTGACTAAATGAATGATGGGAAGGACAGATAAATACAGCTGAGCGTGAGGGAGGGCCGACCCCACTCTGAGGTGATCTGACTTTTCTGTTTCTAACTCTCCCTCTCTGCCCGCCCTTCCCCCCTGAAGACCTTGAATCTGACCTGCACGGTGTTTGGAAACCCTGACCCTGAAGTGGTGTGGTTCAAGAATGACAAGGACATCGAGCTCAGCGACCACTTTTCCGTCAAGGTGGAGCAGGCCAAGTACGTCAGCTTGACCATCAAGGGCGTGACCTCTGAGGATTCGGGCAAGTACAGCATGAACGTCAAGAACAAGTATGGAGGTGAGAAGATCGACTTGACCATCAGCGTGTACAAACACGGGGAAAAGATCCCAGACGTGTTGCCGCCCCAGCAGGCCAAGCCAAAGCTCATACCAGCGTCCACCTCCGAATAAAGGGAGTAGCCGCTGGAGTTGGAAAAGATGCTTGAAAGTCATAGGAATGCTGTGTGCTCGTTCCAGAGGAGGGACGACGGTCTGAGTGATGTCACGTGTGGCCAGATTGTTGGTTGTGCATTGTGCTTTTAATTTTGGCAATCAGTTATTATTAGTGTACGTCCATCTCGGGAAGGGCTGATGTTTCCCACAAGGCTATACAACTTCGTCTGCAGATACTTGACAGAGGAGGGGTTGGGAGATGACAGCTCACGTTTTCGTTGCTATGGGCAGTGGCGGTTCTGTGCCAAGCCGCTGTCCACATTGGGGGCTGTAGTCTTTGGTGCTGGCAAGATACGGCAGCTCTGAAATCCTGGTGGTAGAGCCTTTTAAGCGTGTGTTAGCTGGTTACACTCAGTTTTCTCTTGCTTCAGACTAATAAAACTTGAAAAGGCAACTTGTTGTGGCTCTCCTATCCCGAATTGTACCTACCCACATCTGCTTACTCTCCTGGCTTGTTTAATTATGGATGATTGTGCAATTTCACAGCTAGTAGC